TTAGATGTGACTGTTTCTGAGAACTTTTTACTGTAGCAAAACTCGAATTTTAAACTCGAATTAGCGAAAAATACGGGACCTTACTTGTGACTTGACAGTACCCTACTAATTTGACAAACATAACTGCTAAAAGGAGACGCCGGTCCTCCTGTTATTGCATTAAATTTTTTTTTTTAACAGTCAATTATATCAAGTATAACCTTCTAGTTTGACAAGCAAAGCTCACAAGGGTAAGAAGGGTGTAGGGGAAAATTCAAAGTGAGATATTAAAGTATCTCACAAGTATAGTTGCTTTCTTCAATGCCATCTGAATTTAGTCTCGGTACAAGTCAAGTAATTTGAATTTCAGCCGGCGTGCAGTGTGTACTTGGTTTTATACCTCTTGAAAATTCTCACCTACTTTGTATATATCTGGTTTTTTTTTTTTATACTACAATGCATTTCTAGAATTTACAAGAACTTATAAGATGATTAGGTTATTTGACCAACGGTATGAACCATACTCAATTGATGACGTTACTGCTATGGAATGGAGAACAAATCCTAGGGCCCGGATCACAATTTGAATCACATCTTAAATTTTTTACTATAGTGTTTTCTCTCATATAAATTTAAATATAATTTTTTTTGTTATAGTATTTTTCTCACATAAATTATAAAAAAAAAAAAAAAATCAGAGAGAGAGAGAGAATGCATAACGTAATAATATTCTACACATTAAAACAAAAATTCTCACCTAATATCTTTGTAGATATTCTTGTATGCATATAGTTATTTCCTTGATAAGATCATGATCCATCTGTCTCTAACTAATCAAATAATCGACTATGAATTGGGATATTTTTCCTATTGTTGTCGATGGCAGCTCAAAGTTTGGGAAAACAGCCCTGTCATAATATATGGCAGAGAGAAGTAGGGCCGTGACAATGAATTGATTGGAAGTTTATAAGTCAGTTGCATTGCTAAGGGCCATCTTTTTTATGCCTAGTTGCAAAAACCATTGTTGTTTGTTTTGTTGTATTCATGATGATCTCTCTAGACCTGTCTTTTTAATATTTTGTTGTTGGTCCCACGGCAATATTACCATTAATATATGTGTAGAGCTACGTAACTGCAACTACTAATGAATTAATGTCAAACCCACTTGCGACAAATTGTGGGGAAATGCTTACGTCCCATTCTTTGATTCGAAAAATAAGCCATCATCATCGTCATTAATTATAATATATGCAAATTAGTGTTTAGCCAGAGTAGTTGTTTATTTTATGGGTCATACGGTGGAGCTTCCAATTGACAGTATATCATCACGATAATTAAGTCTAATTAAAATCATATTAAACATAAAAAGTATATCGAGCGGACAGTTTTTTATACAAATTCAACGACTAAAATTATAAACCTATCAATAGTTTATTTTTTTTTTCAAGTTCTACTGTAAAATTTTTCTTATTGTATATCTAAAAATGGTAAGGTTGTATTCTGGTGGAAGAGAGTGGGAACCGTGTTAGGATATGCTTGCTAGCTAGATAGCCGCGGTGGCTATACTTTTAAATTTAATTTGATGTCGATAACCATGATTGCATCATTGGACATTAAAAAGATATATGCTTTCCACATAACTTATTTTGTGTACATCTCTATGCATAGTATAAAATATTAGATACTTCCCTTTTAAAAAAATTCATATACATTGGATACTTGTGTAATTGTGTTAGCTAACAGCTATTTATAAAATTATAATACGCATGTCTAAAATCAAATAAAATAAAAAATAATTTTATGTTGTCATATTTTTTATTGTTGATTTAATTTTAGGAAAATCCTATACTGGAGTATTAAGAAAAAAACTCAAAACAATAATTTGCAATTATAAATCGTCATCTTATATCAGAATCGTGTGGTATTATATAAAGTACGGCAATTAAATGAAACTTGACATAGGTAGCATAAATTATATTTTTCATATTATAAAATTCTCCTGTATTTTGATATAAAATAATATTTTAAGTTGTAAGTACTCCAACCTTCCATAGAAATATGAAAACATATTAAAAATTTTATATCTTTTTCAAATTCTACCACACGAGTTTCGTGCCTATATGTCGTGTAATATGTGTACGTAACCAGTTACATTGTCACGTATGATAGAGAACTATATATGCCCGTTTGTGTGTCTTGCTAGCTCTCCTAACCCATTTAAAGACCAAAATCTCTAGAAAGAGCCATAAAAATGGAAGACTTTCTAAACGAATCTTCAACTCTGGAACTCATTCGCCAATATCTCCTTGGCGACTTTACCTCCTCAGAAACCCTTTTTACCAGTTTTAGTCCTACTTCCAACACCTCCAAGATTAACATGTTCAGTTCTTATGATCTCCAACCCGTAAAACACGAATACTCTCCATCCGAATCCGAACCCAATTCCCCCGTTTCCATGCCCAAACCCGACGCCCCCATGTCGAAAACCGCCTTTTCTGCCGCCGATGTTATGACAACGGACACATTGGTTACCACGAAGACGTCGTCGTCGTCTTGCTCCGGCGAGCGGAGGCGGTATAGGGGAGTTCGGCGGAGGCCGTGGGGAAAGTTCGCGGCGGAGATCCGAGACCCGAACAGGAAAGGGAGCCGGGTCTGGCTGGGGACTTTCGACACAGACGTCGACGCTGCGAGGGCCTACGACTGCGCAGCGTTCAAGATGAGGGGTCGGAAGGCGATCCTCAACTTCCCGCTGGAGGCAGGGATGTCCGAACCGCCGGAGAACACGGGCCGGAACCGGAAGAGGAGGAGAGATCAGAAGGAAGCTTCCGAACAATTACCGGAAAACTTGGAGTCGCCGGAGAGTTGGTTGTTTTCAGAGGAGGGTTGAAGATGATGGTAACTGTAATGATGACGTGTTGCCTTTTCATTGGAGAACAGGTGGGGTCCAAAGGACGTGAAAGTTAGTTATACATTATATATGCTCTCCTCCTCAGAACGGCGTCGTTCCTTGAAAGAAAGGTTTCATCAGGCAATCCCAATTCCCAAATAGTGGGAGCACTAAGAGTAGTACTGTTGATATTTTGTGATTAAAAGAATGTATAAGAATGAGCTAATTATAAGTGAGGTTAATTAAGAGAAGTTTTCTTGAATGCAAATTGAATGTTACATTATCAATGTTTACGACCGTGTTCAAGTTTTTGTATAGTTGATTAATTATCCATATGCTACTGTTGATCCAGATTTGATAATTGGATGTTAATTAGGATGTTTCTGGTTTATAATTCGAGTTTATTCACAAAACAAGGTTAATCACCATTCAAGTTGTCAAAAGGATCATGTCGTGCCTGGCATGGCATGACTAAAATTGTGTACAATTGTATAATTATGTCGTGTTCAGCACAACACAATGTTCATCATATAATGTCGCGTTGGTCTACAAGTCCTTACTTCTAGGCTAAGCACGTTTTATTGGATCATATATTTATGTATTATGTCGTGCCAATCAATATGCTTACTTATAATGTGAGCTCCATTTATAAGATATAGTTTCAAATTATCAGATCTTCATTATGTTCTGAAATATAAATTCTCATGTTTGATTTAATTTGATATAACTATAATTCTATCTAATGATTAAACACGGTACTTAATTTAATGTGATAGTAAAAAAGATGACCTAAAGTAAGAGTTTTTCATACTTTAGTGTAGAATTTTCCGGGGGTGGGGGCTTAAAAAAAAGAACTAAATTTATTTTATGAAACTCGAGTTGCAATAGAATTTATATGGAAAACTCATTTCGGACTGACATTAAAGTTTAAAGATAAGATGCGTTTATTGTTAATTATAAATAAAAGTGAAAATTTGAGAATTTATTTTTTAAAAATAGTATTCATCCAGATGGAGTTAAAACCCCACACTCACAACATGGTGAGTCTTATTAGATTTAATCTTAACTATTTATTTAGTGAGACTAACTTTACGTGAGTAACGATAATTTTAACTCGTAAGAATAAGAATGAAAATAGATGCTCTTTATTTCTGCTCACCATAGATGTACTAAGATTAGCATATTCTTATCCATTGTCTTATCATATTCCGTACTTTTGTGCCTAACCTAAGCCCAGACAATAATATCTTAGATGACTAGCTCCCAACCATAAAGAGTTGGGCTAGTCTACTCTATACATATAGCCCAACTCCATCTCATAGGGAACAAGCCAAGCTGTGAAAGCTTTTGTAACTTTTTACTTCACCAATTTTCAACCAAGACATATCCCAAACTCTACGTTTCTGAGCTGAGCGTGAAATTCCATGATTAAGAATCAGGGAACCAAAAGGGTCATTTTGTGTGGTTTTAAGTCATTTCATGTCTTCCAAACAGGTTCTTGGAATGGTCCATGAATTGCTAATTAATAAACTTGTGCCCACAAGAAGAAGAGAGGGAATCCCACTAGCTTTTTTTTTGGCCTCACTGATCTAGGGACTTTACTAGAGAGATGTTGTGTTATCGGTTATCCAATCGAGGGTCTCTAGAGGAATGAAAGGGATTGAAATTGACCCCACATAAGCCACTACTTGAATAAAGTAATGCCACAAGTGGATCTAATTGCAAACAAACAATCGACTGCTTTGTCCGTACAAAAGCATATACAATGTATCCCATAGGCATAGGGCAACTTGGGACATGAAAAATGCTCTTGATGATGGCCACAGACGCAAGTTGTTTGGACTTAACACAAGTCACAAGTTGGGACACTGTTAAAAAGCATTTCTTTCAAATTTCAATTTATTGACGTCGTCAGCTGCCTTTATCCAGATGACCTCATACATATGAACGTAATATCGATATATATATATATATATATATATTTGTCTTTGCAGTTATACATACAGACACCGTATTGATACAGTTATATATACCAGCTAATACGTATAGAGCTGTTATAGTCTGTTTTGAAGCCCATCCTCTATTTGTTTTCCAATTTCTTGTTAGGGCCGTTTCATTTTGTAGTTAATTTTTTTGGTAGCTTCCTTCGTTCATCTGTCCTGCTATTTCTCCTTTGTCAATGAAAATACTTCCGCAATTCAAATTTTCACCCACATGCTTACACAAACATAAAACACACTGCCTTCTTAGGAAACTGCACTTTCATATTTGTGAGTGTGCCCATCTGTAACTACAATTTCCCAATAGCTTGTGGGTAAGAAGATTGTTTGGCAAGAGGAAAAGGAATGAAGAAACGGATTGGGTGAAACGTTTCAAATTCTTTAAAAAACCTTAAATTTGGCAATCTTAGTCTCTCCTAATATAGGGATTAGGAGAGGGATCCTTTCAAAATACAATAGGAGGGTCATCTTTTGCTCACCTAAACCATAATACGTTTCTTGCTTTTCCTGTTTTCTTTTTCTCTTACCAAACACAGCCTAAGTGTTCGATGAGTGCGTTACATTCATGTGTTGTTACATTCATGAGATTACAACTAACAAGCTTGAAAGACTGGAGAAATTAATCTACTAAATTCTACCAGAAAGAAAGAAAGAAAGATGTGTTTTTGGAGCTTCAACTACAGTTAAGGAATCAAAATATTGGTTTCGTAATGTCCAGATTCATATACTCACATTGCATCTATAAGATATTATTTACAATCAATTTGTCCATGCATTTTATACCAAGCAGTATGGAAGGCGAAGGCGGACCGCAGTGCCAAAGAAGCTCCCGTACTATGACAGGCTCGGGGGAAAGCTCAATCCCATATGTACGCGGCCTTACCCCCCAAAGGAGAGACCGTTTCCGGTATTCAAACCTTGGACCCCAGGTGCAAACGCAAGCGCTCCCACCACGGTCCCAAGGCCCGCCTTCATTATCAATAAGTTTGATATTGTTTTGTAATAAACATAATTTATCAATAAGTTTATTGTTTTGTAATAAACGCAAAGATATTTCCAGCTGGTTCTTTCTGAATTTGAGCAGGACCAAACAGGTGTCTATAAATCCCAAGCAATTATTAAGCTGGTCGAGTTTAAATTTGAGCTGAGCTCTAAAGAATCTTTGAAGAAGCAATGCTCGTGTTGTTGTTGATCACATCGATGGTCTCTCCATCAATTTTTTTTTGCGACACTTCATTGGAATCCAAGAAACTGGGTTGATTCGTGGATGCAAGAAGCCTAGCCCACGTCCTACCTGTTAACTTGACTGTATTTTGCGTCTCAGTCACACGCTGCAATGCAATAACATGCCAGTTATAACAAGACTGCTAAACTGTTTTCTTGTGCAACTAAAGACATCCTACTGTTTCTAGGCAGGAGAATTTCTTTTCACTATGTTATAGCAGTTTGATTAAATTAGGGGAGTGCAAACAGATGATGCACTTGCTTAAAATGAATGATAATAATGGTCAATACCAATTTTCCATGCACTTTTATTTCTAGTCTCCGGTATCTTAACACTACTAAACACCAATTGAGCTACCCTGAATTGGCTAATAGTAGTGAAACAATATAATCAAGTAGTAAAACCAGCTAGTTGAAAAACAAGCATGATAGACAGATGAGAGGAAGTTCTTACAGAGATTGGAATGTAAGCATGCCTGCTGTTCACTGGTCCAACCGTAAAGCCACTGTATCCAGCCATGGCACCATGAACAGCACTTTGAGCAAGAAGAGTGCAGTAGATGTTGTCTGATGCATTACTTGGAATAGCACGAATCATATAAGTAGGGTCTGTAAAGACAAGATAAAGGAATGAAAATAAAAATAAAAATAAAAATAAAATAAAATAAAAAAGAGGGAAGAAGAAGAAGACCTTTCTCAAATTTATTTGCAAAAACTTTTAAATGACTAACTAAACATGTAAAGCGCTACTAGTTGCTAAAGAAATATTGAATCGTTACTAAAACATAATTTAGCACGACTATGTTGACTATCTGTAGGAAATTTCCCTAGATTATAACAGTGGGATCAGCTAACATTTTTGAGGATTCTCAATCATTATAGTATAAGTGACGGCGGGTACTGTTAACAAAATGAAAAGCAGTAAGCAGTGCCAAAGAGAAAAAGATCGCACAAGCTATTTTGAAAATACCTATGTATTTCATATTTATCGCCATCTTCTGAACCTTCGTAAAATGATCCTGTAGCATGTAATGTAGATATATAAATAAACCAATAGGATTAAAGAAGTAATATGCAGTAATATAATCCTTCATATTACATACACATATATGCAATAACATAAACAATAACTTCCGGTGCCCTGCATTCACAACGGCCAAACTCAGATAAAGATATATACCTTAATCTTTTGAGATAGCCATGGACCAACGTCTAAGAGTAGCCTGTTTCCTGATGCATCCTTCTCGGCAATCGCCTGCATGTCTTTAACAACATAATCCTGCCCTGCTCCTTCAGCTACTACGATTACCATATGTCCATTGTCTCTAAGCCGCTGTTCAATAAATTCAAAAAGCCCACCCCGGCCTTCCAAATAGAATGGAGATTCTGGAATCAAGCAACAATCCTGTCACAACAAGAATAACAATTGTTTGTTACCTCTAATCCGTATTAAAAATATTCCTAGCAATTAACTAGCAAATCGATGAATTAATTTTGTGTTTTAACTAAAAATGTAATCTAGAGCTGTAAATGAGATCTAAAAAATACTAAAACCTAGTACATTTCCTGATGGCACCATGCCACCATCTAACGGCAAGAACAATTGGACCAAAACCTAGTAAGTCCTATTTTTCAGTTACTATTTCAGACTGTCTCATCACATCAAAGTTTGTCTTGTGTATGCAGACAGATATTAATCCAATAACCTTCAGATTTTTTTTTTTTTTTTTGGGAAGGGAAATAACCTTCAGATTTGGTATACATATACCGTGAACTCCACCTTCAAAATTAAATATACTGTGAACTCTAGATAAGATCTTAAATTCTTACCACATCTCGACTTGCCAAAGTTGCAAATGTAGCAATGAATCCTGCCAAACAAAAAATTGAAAGTGAAAGAGAGGACATCAATGCATTACTTGAACGATAAGAAATCTGCAACATACATTTCGGTCAGTCTCCTAGAAGTGAATATATACTTCAATCACTTACCGCTGTATCTGCCCATAAGTTTAACGATTCCAACTCCATTTTCCACACTTTCAACCTCAACGTGTGCAGCATTAATAGCCCTCTGAGCTTCTTCAACAGCAGTATCAAAACCAAAAGATTTGTCTATAACCTATATGAAAATTACATTATCCCAGTAAATGAAGACGAAAACAATTAGATGATGAAGGAAAAAAGGAAATAAAACAAAAATTTTTCTCTTATATTTTTTTAACATCAACAAAGTTTTCATTGGAGCTACATTAAATATGACCAATGCAAGATTGTGGAACTTGAGGAGAACGGAATACATATCTGTTAATAATTCTCCCTAATTTCTTGAAGAATTTAACCCTAGAACGCATTCACAGCAAGAAGACAGTTGCAGATCCAGAAAACACAAATCTTTATTCCAGAAAACAAAGAGTACAAGAGAACACCACAATTACTCAGAGAAAAACCCCAGAAAATCCCCTTCTGTTTCTCCCTTTCTCTCTCCCCGTAATTGCTCTCCACTTCTCTCTCTAAAAGCTAACCAGAGTATATTCAAGTTGACTATTTATTCTACTAAGTACAACCAATGAGACCTTGACACCTGTCTAGTAAAAGACCGACTTAGTCATACTATGCTATATCTATTTAACTACTCATTTTTTCTCTTTTATTCTGCCACAACAAATTGAATACAGAACCAACTCAAAACAATCTCCACCTTGGTTCTTTATTCATTCTCTCCTACAATCTGATCAATTTTCCTTGATTCCACTACATTAAGTCGTTTTAAGCAGTGCTGAAACTTCCCTGCAGGCAGTGCCTTTGTAAACATATTGATAAGATCGAAAGTCAATCTAGTCCGCTAAAGTCGAACAACACAGAAGATTGCACACAACAAGCTCAATCTCGAGCGTATTCGTCGTATTACTGGTGGAAGTTCTTCAGAACTACAGGAATGGAAAAACAGAGACAGGTATGGGGGTTTTCGAGAGACCCCTTGCACTCCTAATCCAATTGTCTAAGACGTTTTAGAGAGAAAGTAATTGAATACCTCTAATATGCTTTAGCTAAGCTTATTTATACTAAATCTTTGTCTAGTAACTAACTCTTTCTAACACTACAGCCTAACCAACTGGCTATAAGCCAACACCCTTCTCAGCCTCCCCCCAAACTTGCCAGCTCAGCCTCTGGACAATCCAGCTCAACTTCCCCAAAAGCCTTTCCTTGCTGGCTCACAACCCCACTGTCAACCTCTACTCCAGTCCCATTTCCCCCATTTCTCTCTCGAATCCTCCTCCGTACGTAAGTAAAACGCACCGGAGGCTTATCAATACTCCCGCCCTAAAGACGCACCTTGTCCTCAAGGTGGAAATGAGGAAATTGGCGGTCGATAGCCTCGTATGACTCCCAAGTCGCCTCATGCTCTAGAAGCTGCTCCTAGCAGTCAAAACTTCAGACTCAGAATGGCCTCCTGTCACACGTTGGCGCATACCAAGTACGGCCTCTGGTACAACGCGCAACTCCAAATCACTTGACAACTGAAGGGGAATAGAAGACACAGCCTGATCACGGCCCAGAGCACGACATAGCTGAGAAACATGAAAAACCGGATGAATGGCAGCCTCCTCTGGCAAGGCAAGACGATACACCACAAGGCCAACCCGTGTAGTGATAGCATAAGGACCATAGAAACGTGGGCTCAATTTCTCATTTTGACGACCTGCCAAGGACACCTGACGATAAGGATGCAGCCTGAGATAAACCAAATCTCCCACCCCAAACTGCACATCCCGACGTTTACCATCAGCCACTGCCTTCATGCGCTGCTGAGCGCGGAGCAAATGAGACTTTAGTAAATCCAGCATGGCGTCCCGGTCCTGCAACTGTTGATCCACCGAGTCGACAACAGGCGTTCCAAGTCCATAATGCAGCCGTGGAGGTGGAGCACGGCCATAGACCACCTGAAATGGAGTAGTGCGTGCCGAAGTATGGAAAGAGGTGTTATACCAATATTCGGACCAAGCTAACCACCGGTGCCATTTTCCCGGTTTGTCCGATGTAAAACAACGCAAATAAGTCTTGACACACCGGTTCACCACCTCTGTTTGCCCATCCGTCTGAGGATGGTAACCGGTACTGCGTGCAAGAGTCGTGCCCATCTGCTTGTGAAGCTCCGTCCAAAAATGGCTGAGAAATATACAATCACGGTCAGATACGATGGTACGCGGAACCCCATGGAGGCGGACCACCTCTCGAATGAAAACCCTGGCCACCACTTCAGCTGTGAAAGGATGCTTCAAAGCAATGAAATGCCCATACTTACTAAGCCTATCCACCACGACTAAGATCGAATCAAAACCTTCCGAACGAGACAACCCTTCAATGAAATCCATTGAGATATCTTCCCACACTCGGTCCGGAATGGGTAGTGGCTGTAACAAGCCACTAAGAGCTAAGTTTGAAGCCTTGCAACGCTGACAAACATCACACGCAGCCACATATGAAGTTATATCTATTTCATCCCCCACCAAAACCAATCCGCGGACAAGCGGCGGTATGATGACCTCCCACAACTCCATCATGATATGCGTGAAGCAACTTAAGAATGTAAGGCGAGTCCCTAGGCACTACCATCCTGCCCCCAAACATTAACCACCCCTGTACTAGAGAGTAACCAGGGTAAGCCTCGGACTGAGTTTGTAAAGCCGTGACAATGTTTCCAAGCTGCTCATCCTGCAAAACCTGTTGCTGCAGGGCCTGCGTGTCTACAATAGAGGAAACTAGCAAAGCACTCAATTTTGGCGGATGAACAACACGAGAAAGTGCATCCACAGCACGATTCTCCAATCCGGGTTTGTATTGGATTTCAAAATCATACCCCAACAATTTTGTAAGCCACTTCTGGTGCTCCACACTCACCAGACGTTGTTCCAACAAATATTTCAAGCTTCGTTGGTCGGTGCGAATCACAAAATGGCGGCCCAGCAAATACGGACGCCACTTTTGCACGGCCAACACAATAGCCATTAATTCCCTCTCATACACCGACTTTCCTTGAGCCCACAACGACAAGGCTTGGCTAAAATATGCAATGGGCCGCTGATCCTACATTAACACTGCTCCAACGCCAAACCCGGAAGCATCCGTTTCAAGCACAAACGGTTTTGTAAAGTCCGGAAGAGCTAAAACCGGGACTGAAGACATAGCTTTTTTTAAACAAGAGAAAGCATGTTCGGCCTCCTCAGTCCACTGAAACCCATCCTTTCGAAGTAAATTTGTTAAGGGCCCTGCGATGTGGCTATATCCAGCCACGAACTTCCTATAATATCCCGTCAACCCCAAAAAGCCCCTCAAATCACGCAACGCAGTCGGGATTGGCCACTTCAACATTGCTTCAATCTTGGTGAAGGAGTCTGCAATTTGTTGAGTGGTTGGTAAGAATGGTACATAAATGACTCCATCTTCAAGTTTCTCCTTTATTAAGTGTCTGTCAATTTCTACATGTTTCGTACGATCATGTTGAACTGGGTTATTAGTAATACTGATAACTGCTTTATTATCACAAAATAGTTTCATGGGTAGTTCTACAGGTACATGGAGGTCTTCCAGCACCTTCTTCAGCCAAAGTATCTCACAAATTCCTTGAGCCATTGCCCCATATTCTGCTTCTGCACTACTTCTGGCTACCACATTCTGTTTTTTGCTTCTCCATGTTACAAAATTTTTCCATAGAAAAGTACAATATCCAGAAGTGGATCTTCTGTCAGTCACGGAACATGCCCAGTCTGCATCAGTATAGACTTCAATTCTTCGTTGATCACTTTTCTAGAAAAATAATCCTTTTCCAGGAGTTCCTTTTAAGTATCTCAGAATTCTGTAAACAGCTTCCAAGTGTTCTTCATAGGGAGCATGCATAAACTGGCTTACCATGCTAACGGCATAAGAGATATTTGGTCGAGTGTGGGATAAATAGAACAGCTTTCCCACTAGACGTTGATATCGGCCTGTATCAACCGGAATTCCTTCCCGGATCTCTCCAAGTTTTGAGTTAGGCTCCATAGGAGTATCTGAAGGCTTGCATCCACTCATACCGATTTCTTCCAAGAGATCTAGAATATACTTCTTTTGAGAAATTACTATGCCCTTTTTTTATCCCAAGAAAGTATCTCAGAGAACCTAGATCTTTAATCTCAAATTCGGTTGAGAGATTTTTCTTCAATTTGTCCATTTCCTCAGTGTCATCACCAGTGCGAACAATATCGTCCACATACACAACCAAGACAACAATTCTACTTTCTGCAAAAATCTTTATGAACAGAGTGTGATCTGACTGCCCCTGTAAGAACCCTTGAGACTTTACAAATCTTGCAAATCTGTCGAACCAGGCCCTCGGAGATTGTTTAAGTCCATATAAGGACTTCTTCAATCTGCAAATCTTCCTGAAGTTGTCCCTAAACCCTGGGGGAGCCTCCATGTATACTTCTTCTTCTAAGTCTCCATTAAGAAAGGCATTCTTAACATCTAACTGATGAAGAGACCAATCTAGATTAACTGCAACAGAAAGTAACACTCTTACTGTATTCAACTTAGCAACTGCTGAAAAAGTTTCTGAGTAATCAATGCCATAGGTTTGTGTAAACCCCTTGGCAACCAACCGAGCTTTATATCTCTCGAGAGATCCATCAGAATTGTACTTCACGGTGAACACCCATTTACACCCAACTGGTGTTTTCCCTTCCGGACGATCCACTTTCTCCCAAGTTGTATTCTTCTCAAGAGCTCTCATCTCCTCAAGGACTGCCTCCCTCCACTCAGGAACTTCTAGAGCATCCTGTATATTCTTTGGAATCGCAACACAAGACAATTTTGAGGTAAATGCCCGAAATGATAGAGACAGACTCTCATAGGATAAAAAGGTATACAACGGATGTTTAGTACACATCCTAGTGCCTTTCCTAAGAGCAATGGGAAGATTCAAATTTTCATCAGACTCTGGAATAGAACTCGGTTCAGAAGACTCAGACTCAAAAGGAATAGGACTAGACTTACTTGACTGATTTTCACCCTCTGGATTTGTTCCCAAGTTAGATTCTTGGCCATGCTCCAAGTCGTCAGTCTTTTTCTGTTGTCCTAGATATTTCCTTGAATAGACTTTCCCTTTAAAGCAAGGTCCATCTTGCCTCGCACACATCTCGCTTCCTTCCTGAGTTTGATTTTGTAATGGCACAGAAGGTTGATTCCCATTATTTGAAATATCTTCATTTTCAATGTTTACCATGGTCTCAAATTCATTGTTTTTCCCCTTTTTATTGGGTAAAAAATCTTCCAATAACCAATTAAAAGACGAAGAATCTTCACTAGATGTCTCCCCCTGAAGACGAGTTTTAAAAAAAGATTTGTCTTCAAAGAAGGTGACATCCATGGAGATAAAAAAAATTTTGGATATTGGATCAAAACATTTGTACCCGGATAACCAACAAAAACACATTTTCTTGCTCTAGGATCAAGTTTTCCGCGATTGATATCATGAATGTGTACAAATGCAGTACAACCAAAGACTTTAAGGGGAAGATCATGGGAGAGCCGAGAGGAGGGAAAATGTTCCTTAAAACAATTTAAAGGGGTTTGAAATTTTAAAATTTTTGAAGGCATTCTATTAATCAGATATGTAGATGTGAGAACAGCTTCACTCCATAAATATTTAGGAACATTATTACAAAGCATTAAAGACCTTGTTACCTCTAGAAGATATTTATTTTTCCTCTCAGCAACTCCATTTTGTTGTGGAGTGTTGTTGCATGAGTTTTGGTGAACAATATCATTTTGCCCCAAAAAATCCCCCAGAATCTCATTGAAATACTCTTTGCCATTATCACTTCTGAAAACTTGAATCTGAGTTTGAAACTGTGTTTGAATCATTTTATAATGTAACACATTTTCAGCTTCCGATTTTTCATGGAGTAAAGTCGCCCATGTGATCCGAGCATGGTCATCAATGAATGTGATGAACCATCTTTTTTCAATGATTGTTTTTATTCTTAAAGGTCCCCACACATCACTGTGAATTACATCACTGTGAATTACAGAAAAAAATTTTGTGGCCTAATAGGATTGTGCCGGAAAGTAAGTGCGACGATGCTTGGCAAGTTCACAAATTTCACATTGAAATGAAGATGGATTTTTATTCAAAAACTTTGAAAATAAATGTCTCAAATAATAGAAACTTGGATGTCCTAACCTAAAATGCCATAACATAATTTTATTCTCATTAGGAATTGAAATAGAATTGAGACAAGTTCTCTGGGATTGCCTATTCAAGTCGTATCCATCTTCAAGGAGATATAGACCTTCAACTTGCTTAGCATTGCCAATCGTCTTCCCCGTGATCAAATCATAAAATTGACAACCGAAAGAAGAAAAATTAGCCTAAAACTTTTGATCAACGGTTATTTTACTGATCGACAACAAATTATATGACAACTTGGGGACATGAAGAACATTATGGAGTGTCAAAGAAGGAGAAATAACAATTGATCCTTTCCCAGCTACTGCTGAGAAAGAACCACCTTCTATTTTGACTTTTTGATTTCCTGAACAAGGGTTATATGAAGAAAAAAATTCTGATGATCCAATCATATGATCCGTTGCTCCAGAATCGATTATCCAATAATCTTTTGAATTAACACTGAGACAAGACGCTATGAGATGATTACCTTTCTGAACTAGAGAACAAGAAGGATTTGAATTATTGAGATTTTGAGACTGGAGAAGTTTACAGATTTGCTCTATCCGTTCCTTTGTGAACGACGGCATTCCAGAGGCAGCTTCGGTCCTTGATTCAAAAACATTAGCTTGAGAGGCACGGTCATCTCCAGGTATTTTTTTCTTCCAATTGTTCGGTTTACCATGGATTTTCCAGCATGTCTCCCGAGTATGCCATGGTCGTTTACAATGATCACACCAAGGCTTCGTTTTGCTATTTTTTTCCTCTCCTTCAACCGTGGCCCCTTTGGACATAAGTGCAGAACCTTCTGCCTCCGATTCATTTTTCCCGATCATCACTTTCCGCCTCTTTTCCTCTCTTCTAACTTCTGAGAAAACTTCTCAAATGGATGGGAACGGCTTTCTCCCCAAAATCCAACCTCTAACCTCATCTAAATCTTGATTTAACCCTACAAGAAAGACATAAACACGGTCATTCTCTTCCCTTTTTTTGGGCCAGATGCTGTCATTTGGGCACTCTCATTCGTCTTCATAGCATAGGTCTAACTCCTGCCACAAGGTTACAAGTTCATTGTAGAACACTGTAAAGTTTCTATCTCCTTGTTTAGCCTTCCATAGCTTAGTCTTCAACTCGAAAATCTGAGACAAGTTCTCAATATCCGAGTACATCTCATGTACAACCTCCCAGACATCCTTGGCTGTTGGCAGAAACATATGTGACTTTCCAATGGCTGGTTCCATCGAGTTAATCAACCAAGCCGTGACAAGAGAGTTCTCAGATCTCCACTGTTTCGGTCACCTGCAGCCGGTCTTGTGATTTCCCCGATCAAATGGCCGAGTTTCCCTCTACCATCAATAGCAAGCTTCACCGATTGAGCCCACTCCAAGTAGTTCCGGCCATTTAGTTTTTAGTTGGTCAATTGGAAGGGCATACTTGAACAAAAGAAATTGTTAGCACTGTTCTTTGCTCCTCCGCTAACTGTTGGCCCTCTTGAACCCGATTGCACATTCTCTGATGAGGCACCGACTACACTTGGACTATCACCCGCTGCAGAGGAGTCTCTTTTTTGGCCGGTCATTGCTAGTCTATAATCCATTTAGACTACGGAAATAAGAGAATAAAGAAAGAGGGAATTGAAAGGCTGCGGATGAAGGATTGGAAGGCTGATTTTTCAAGAAAGAGACGTGGCTCTGATACCATGTAAGCAATGGAAGATAGAAAAAATCTTTTCTTCCTTCATAGTTTCAGAGAAATTGTACAGGGATTATATAGACTTGGTGAGGTCTAATCTAATCCCTAAAATAGAGAAACAAAATCTATAAATAAGGAAACAATACAAAGTCAAATATCCTCTCCTAATTAGGAAGAATCTCAGCACCTCTTCTACAAGAAAATTAGGAATTTTCTATACTCCCAGCATCTCAAGACTAAGAAAAAGGTATACGGCCAATGAACCAGTGAACTTGGGTAATTGAAGCTAAATTCAAGCGTGAATACTTGAAATAAATGCCGGTTCATCAGAACTTACAGCAATATCATTGTCAATTGTTTTGGGAATTCCAGCAACTGCCACATGAAGACCACGTTTCTCGACTTCCTTGAACAAAATATATTCATGTCAAAACCTGCTATAGCCATGAAGACTAGTTTGAAATAAACAAATTTCCCTTTGAGGAATCTATCACCTTGTATATTAGAGCTGCTCCTCTTTGTGTTCCATCACCTCCAATGATGTAAACCTACGGTCATATTGACAACTCCGTGTTGTTATTCCTTTCCTTATCATATGTTCTTTTCCTAGTAAGTATTAACAAGTAAATGACCCAGATAATCAGACACAAGACAACGTATACCTACCTGATTTATTCCTCGGTCTTGTATGTTATCAAGTATCTTTTGGGTGTCATGACCTCCTCGTGAAGTGCGAAGAAAAGTGCCACCACGTTTATGGATATCATTTACTACTTTAGGTGTCAATCTCAATGTATTTCTAGAGTAAAAGCCTCTATATCCACCCTGAAAAAGGTTGTTTAGTTATCAAAACACAGGTCTACAATTCCTGAACCGCAACTGCAACAGATATAGAAGGATAACATAGCAAAATGATAATCGGAGTCACCTCGATTCCAAGTATATCACTGACACCATACATATAGTTCAAGCCACAAACTACCTCCCTTATCACAGTGTTAATCCCAGGGCACAGACCACCACAAGTCACTATGCAAGCACGAACCTCATCCGACTTGCAATAGACCTAAGCATTACGGAAAGATCCTTTTTTCGGTTAATCTTCCATCAAGCCACATGAAAGAATTTTACTTCTAGACTAATTAGTACCTTTTCTCGAGGCCCGGCACGCCTAAAATGCACACCTCTAGGGCTATCTTTTCGAACAACAATCTAAATCCAAACACATTAAAACGTCATTTAAGCAAAGAATAAAGATCATCACATCACAATTCACTGATAATTGACAATAAAATAAATTCCGGGCACTTACTCTTTCTGCAACCACATCTTCTGGGCTCACAAAAGTTTCCCTATGAAAGTCAAAGTATAAAGCTAAATGTATTTATGAACTATAGAAAACCAAATTCTCGGAGATGATAAAAAAAAATAAAATAAAATAAAACTTACTTCACAATCGCGTAGGCTTGGCTATTTTGCAGAGGATTTGGATATGACTGGTTCAAAACAAAATTTTCTTTTTTTCAATAGAAGAGAACTTAACACCATCAGAAGCACATATATAAAACGCCATAATAGGAAACAATATATTCCAAAAAGAGAGAAAAGAGGAAAAAAGTTACCGGTAAATCAGGGAGAAAATTGGTCAAATGAGGAACATCTTCGAGGACGAAACCGTCGTCGGGCGTTTGATAAGAGCTTTGGCAACGGATCGGGTTGTTTTGGCGGGAAAAGAGAGGAAATCTGAGGAAGCTTCTGGATTTGAAAAAGGGATTCGGGAGATAAGGAGGAGTTGAAGATTTCGATTTGGAGCGAACCGTGGGGATGGAGAGAGGAAGCGAAGGAGAGGATTTGGAGAGACCAGAAGAAACTGCAAATTCCATTGGAGATCTGGGAATGTCTCTAGAGAGAGGGAATCGCAATTGGTAAAGGAAAGGAAGGTTTTTTTTTTTTTTTTTTTTTTTTTTTTTTTTTTTTAGAGAAATGGAAAATCGGAGAAGGGGATGTTTGTTGCAGAAGAGTTGTTTTTGGGAGGAAATGTCTCCCAAAACCGTTCATTTTACTGATGGACGAGTTTAGATAAAAGTAAAAAACTTAATTAAATTTATTTTTTTTATTATAAAATAATTCTCATATAAAATAATATTTTAATTAAAATTAAAATTTATTTATTTTATCGATTTAAATTTAAAATTTAAATTTTATTATAATAAACAGTAAAAAATTTTAAAAAATATTTATTTTTTATTTTTTATTATAAGAAAAAAAATTTACATATAATTATATTTTAATTTAAATTAATAAACTAAATGAGTTTTAAAAACTTAAATTAATAAATTAGACAGACGGAGACGCAAAATTGAATATGATATTTTTTGGGGGAAGAAAGGTGGAGGTGAAATAGGGTACGGTCGACGCCAGCGAGGTTGACCTGGAAGACGGATGGCCTATTGTGGAATGATGTTTGACTGCAAATGCGTTGACTTATGTATTTTCACATTTTTTTCTTTTTTCTTTTTTTTTTCTTTTTGAGGAAATGGCCAAAAGCATTCGGTTAACTTTTTTTTTCCTTTTTAAAAAGACTTTTTATAATAATCGCTTTAAAAATAGATAATTAGTAATTTTTTATTTTTTAATTATTAAATTTGTGTCAAAATATATATGTTTTGTATATTTTTAATTTGATATAATTTTGATTAAATTTAACAATTTTAAGACGTATTATTAAAAAAACTCTTTTTTTTAGTGCCAAAAAAAAAAGATCCAACTGCACGAGAGGGCCCGCAAACGTTGTAAATTATAAGAATTAAGCAAATGTTTCCGATGAAACTGCAAACATTGTCTGAAGACTCTGAATTGTATTTCTTTGAGTAATCACATTTATTCTTGTGTGATTATAGCCCCACTCTATTACGAAAGTGGGCACCACAAGGGGTCCTACATGGATCTCATAAGTGGAGCCTGCTCTTTATGAGAGAGTTAGATATATCCCCACTGTGTTATACAACAGATTTCGTTGCCGTTAATTGTATCTCAACATATTTACAACTCTATATCTACATATGTACTTTTTTTCTAAAAAAAAAAAAAAAAAAACTAGTTTCTTTGATAGGATAAAAAAAATAAATTATTGATAATTCACTATTTTTAGCCATCATATCATTATTTTGCATATTTTTTTTAATCTGATGTTATTTTAACTAGATCCAATCATTAAATATTTATGGGGCGTTTGGTATGCAGTAATCTTAAGGATGGAAATAGAAATCTGCAATATTATCATGTTTGGTACAAGAATTATAATTTTTAGATTTCCAGGAAAGTGATTACCATGGGATTCACTTTCCCTCATTTAAGGTAATTTGAATACCACCCAACATGATGTTATTCAAATTTCCAGGAATCTCAAAATCATGAGAATCTTATTATTATTATTATTATTATAATATAATTATAATAATTATTATTATTATTTTATTATTTTATTATTATTATAATATTTATTATTATTATTATATTTATTATTATTATATTATTAATATTAATAAAAATAAAAATAAAAAATATTAATATTAATAATAGTATTATTATTTTATTATTATTATTATATTTATTATTATTATATTATTAATATTAATAAAAATAAAAATAAAAAATATTAATATTAATAATAGTATTATTATTTTATTATTATTATTATAGATCTTCTTCCATGCGAACAACAAAACACAGTAATGTAATATTCCTGGGAATTTGAAAAAGATTCCTGTATGGAACCAAACACAGTAATGTATTATTCTTAAGAATCATATTACCCTCCATTACTTTCCTAGGAATATGATTCCTACTGATTCCTGCATACCAAACGCCCCCTTATACTATTGGGCAAGCCATAATAAAGAAAGTCTCAAAAAAAAAAATATTGGAACACTGAAAAAAATAAACTACTAAAGAACTTTGCGCCACTAGGGTTTATTCTTCTCTACCCATTGCTTTTCTTGCTGCCGTTTAGCAAAAAGTTACCAAGGGCCGGAGTCTGGCACTACCCTTGAGCTTGGTTAGACTCCCGGCCACATAGAAGGCGGCTTAAGTGTCATGGCGTGGATCCTCCCAGCGAGGGGTCGACAGGGCTGTTGTTTGGGTGGGAGAAAAGAGTGTTGGGAGGGATTTTTTTGGTGTGTGCTTGGTTGCCGCTTCTGGGCACATCCGTACGCCGACAAAGTTATGCCCCTTGTGATGCAGTGCAACGGCTAGAGATGGAGGAGGAGGTGGAAGGGTCGCGCTTTTTATTGCAGGATAGGGGCGTGCCAGTGTCTTAGTGTTATTGTGTTATGGGGTTTCGGCTTCAGTGGGTTGGCGGCTCCATGGATGAAATGTTTTCCCTAATTGGTATCGATGGGTGGCGGAGATGGTTCGGCCTTCTTCCAGTGCTTCTTTGGCTTGCTTGCAACATTGCAGCTCCCTTGCTTATCTACAGCGGTGGTCGACTTGTCGTTGGAGATTCGGTGGTGTCATTTGGCCTTTGCCCTTTTGTTTTGATTTGTGTGCTTGTCAAATAAAGGTGTTGATATTTCCGCCATTTTAGTTTTAGTGAGTTTTTTTTTGTTTTTTTGTTGTTTTGTTTGTTTCCGGGGTTGGTTTCCTTAACTTTCAGTGTTGTTTTTAAGTCTAGTCTGCAAGTTTTTCTTTGCGGTGTTGTGGTAGGTCCCAGTGCTTTTACTCTCTCGATCTCATTCGATCGGAGTTATTCACCTACTATTGTAGTGTGTTTAAAAGAACCATTTACGTGCTCAATTAGTTGTGTGCTTTTTTGATTTCCTCTCTTTGGAATTCGATACAAGTATTACCTCCTAGAGCATTTCAATCGAATTTACTGGTGGTTCCAATCTATAGTTGGGATTGAGTTGCTAAATGCTTTGCGGTCTTTCGCATCTAAATTAGTGATTGTATTTTCCTGATTTTGAATAAACTACTAAAAAGGCTATGTTTTCAATTGTTAAATTTGTATAAGAAAATATCGATTTTGTATACCTTTTTAATTTGATGAGTTTGACCAAATTCAACGACCATAAACTAATCTTACTGTAAGGAGGTTCTCCTTGAAAGGCCTAAATATATATATATATATATATATATATACACTTGTTTATGAATATATTCAAAAGTTATAAAAAAAAAAAGAAGAAAAAAATTCCTCGTTTTAAAAATTGTTTTAAATGTCACCTCTTACTTTTTTCTTTAAGAGACTTTTTACGATATGTCAACATACCAGTAGATCAGGTTTTTTATCCGTTAAATCTGCATAAAATTACATAAAAATAAAAAAGTACACAGACCTCAAATTAGAAAAACCTAGTCGACCGATACACCTGTGCCGGCGTACCAGAGAATCCCCCTTTGAATTATTAAGAAAACATCTCGTAATTGATCAATTGAGAAATAGGATTGAGAAATATTGATATAACTTCATATCAATCATATCTTTCTACTGAGAAATATTGATATAACTAACATATCAATCATATCCTTAACTATCTTCACTGAATCACTGAACATTGTGCAGTGAAGAGAGTATCAAGATAATTGCCTTTTCTCTAAATAACGTGATCCATCATAATATATTAGCCAACAGTATCGTTGCTATTATTAAATTTATGACAATTGGAAATATATTTTTTAGTATGAAGTCGCCTGACATTCCCTCAAACATCACACACATTGTTTTATGACAATAACGAAATAACTCTAAAAGACTAAAACTGACTTCCAAAAAAAAAAGGAACTAAAACTGAACATTTCTTTACCTTGATAAAAAATTGGACTGTTATATATCATATGCTGTTTGCATGTTTCAAGTGTCTCAAAGGACAATGAATGAACAAATGTTTGGCTTGATCACACTTTACGTTGTGTTTGCAATCATTGATTGGGAATGACTGCCGTTAAGGGTTAAGGCCTTAAGGATTTGGGATGCAACAAGCATACTCGTCGTATTTGGTACGTTTACTTCCGGAAATTATTGGATCTAAGTGTGAAAATGATCCATCATATGGCGGATAACATCTTCACCTTCTATATGCACGCTTTCATTTTTCACCTGTAAAATGGTCACACCAATTCCCATGAAAACAGAATGATAGTTTCTGATTGAGGTTCTAAAAAGAAGTTAGAGCTGCGAAATCGAGCTTATCAAAAGCTCAAGTAGATTTGAATACTTCAGAGAAAGATGAAAAAGAATGCTCTCGAGCTTATGATATCCCTTCATGTGAACATCACTTAAATTAAAAAACATGAACTAATTACTAATTAGCAATGGAGACATTTGGGGGGAGAGAGAGGACCTGAATGACACTATGAGCGGCAAACCTATGCCTGATGCTGTGAAAACTAACATCAACCTTTTCCCATGACACACGAGACAGACCCGTCACCAGTTCCTCTGCAGTGTAAAATCCAGTCAACAAATCTTAGTAAATGTACACACCATCAATATAAAACAAAAGAATCAAGCCAGAACAAAAGCAGACTGACAAGTTGTCAGACCATACAGAATAACGACAACATAAGAGACAATACTGCTTGTTTATGCGTATTTGAAGATAGGATTAAGTGAAGGTCTTTTAATGATTTTCAAAAGACTTGATAGACAAAACCTACATAGCTGAGTGACTGAGAATGTGTGCGTTTTGGCCACCCAAAAATTCATGGGTGTTTGTGCTGAGTAGTGAGTACTGTCTAAAGATTATATGATATGCAAAAGATATGCCACACGAACAGTCACATTGCTGACACGCACAAAAATGATAGCAGGTAACCAAGTTTCAAAAACATACAAATACACCGACACAAGAGATGATTAACAAATGGGATAAAGAAAGTAACCTAATCAAACCAGTAAACCTCATGGAAGGAGAAAAGAATTAAAAAGAAACAGCGCCTAACATCAAGGACAGCCAGACTTTTAATTCAGTGAGGGCACAAATAAGCATAAAATTTATAAATTAACACAACATAAAAATAAAGTAGCTTTTCTAATACTTTTTTGCAATAAATTTTATTAAAGTTCACATTACAATTGTTCTTGACGAGTTCTCATCTTTTAGTACTGTTGCATAAAACTTTATTATCGATGCTATCAAAAATGTCTTTCATTAATATTATATATTAATATTATAAATATCTTTACGGTTTGTAATTCTACCGTGTGAATTGGGAAGCAAGTTATCAATTAGAGCCCAATAAAAAACCAGCGAAAAGAAAAATTAGAGCCCAATAAAAAAAATCAAAGAAAGCCCAAATGTAAAAGAGCAGGCTTTCAGAAAAAGAGAAAAAAAAGTATCTGAGTATACCAGTGGGGGCACAAATACCGGTATAAAGAGTATAATCATGGAAGTTAGAGGAGCGTTATTTTATTTTATTTTTTTTATTTTTTTTTTGTGAGGGCCTGTGCCCCCACTGGTCCCAATGTCACTCCGTCTATGCCTAACTTGGGTGAGCAATGTTACCAGGATAACAAGACCCACAATCTATTGGACCCATAATTAGGTTATTGGGAAAAAAATACACAAAATATATAAACAAATGAATAAATAATAATACCTTCAATCTTGTCGGAGCCATCATCTTCCACCGAAGTTGTTTCAGATTGTTCATCGTAACCCTTGCAGCGTTCTTCATATACCACATGCGGATATTTCTCATTCACAGTATCCTCCCACTGGAAATAAAAATAACCTTGTTTGTCCAATGACAACCAAATAGCTTGAATAACAAGATTCTCACATATAGCAATACCTTTGGCAGTTCAACATTGCGTCTAATCGAAGATGTTCTCCAGCCCACAATATCTTAATAAGGATTCATCATGGAAAACATGATATAAAAAGTTCAAAAAGAATTGGGACAGAGTCTACACAAGAATGATAACTATCTAGAACAGGATACGGTCATAGCCCACATTTGAATATACAACCCGACGTTTGAATGTCTGCAGCGCAGACCTGCATAATGACTTATATGTCATTCTTTTAATAAGAGATTCAGAATTACTGCTGAAGTAATTGAAAGAATATACCATAAACACTAAAACTAGGGGCAGAGGACACAGGAAACTTACATGAAATAACAGTCATCATAATCTTCAATCATGCGCTTAAGCAAAGGGGGCTTTCCTTCATCCGTATCAGTAAGAAATAGGTGTCGACCTGTTCTCCTAAATATCAAATGAATAACGCAACTTGCAGCTTTTTCAAATGCGGGTACACCAAAGAGAAAGGGTACCTATAAGAAGCAGCTCAAATTGAATAGCTGAAACAATGACTTCTAAACACAGATAAACACAGGAGGAGGGAAAAAGATTGCATGTACAAGGCATATTTTTTTTACCTGCTTATTTCCCCTCGAACCAAGATGTGGTGTAGCAACAGTGATAAAGTTCATGGCCTCCAAGCCCCCTATTGTACCCCTAGAATCTTTATCACACTCATTAACTGAAGAATCCTCCACAGTTGTTAGTTTAGGGGGTCTATATAGTTTACCAATTGCATATCTTGCCACCAATCCTCCCACTGAATGTGCAACAAATGAAATTTTATTTAGATTTGGCTTTCTTTGAATCACGTCGAGAACCTACAGTTCAAATATTCAGTCAGAAAGTATAGAGGTGGAGTCAAAATGTTTTCGGGTTATATATACACACACATATATACATATATATTTATATACACACACATATGTATATATATTTATACACACATAAAATTGGTTAGTTTCATGATTTCAAGAAGATAGCAACCTCCTCTGCCAATCGGTCACCCATGACATCCACACCGTCTAGAGTCAACGTTGAGACATTCTTTTCACTACCTGCAAAGATATTAATTAACTTAAGTACAATATGCAAACACGCTTGAAGGCTCCAAAAGATTTCAAGTGAGTCTTATTAATTAAAGCTGTAAAACTTTCACTTTCAATTACATATATGTTAAAGTAGGCCATATATGATGGCAAAACCTAAAACCAACTACTTTTGGGTTTTGGCTGGTAAATCTGGCACAAAGTAAATACTGTATACATAGGCTATAGGAGCAACTCCAACCATGCTAACCATTTCATGTTTTTAGCCAAAATGACTAATGATTTAGCTTCTTTTTTTCTGCTTTTCTCCGCTCCGGCCATTAGCTAAATGGTTAGCTATTTTAGGGATTACCTTTCACGCTAGTTAAATATAGCTAATATGGAGAGACTAGCCATTAATTTTTTATATTATTTTATTCTTTCAACTGTAATAAATGCAAAGGTTCTTTTTTAAATTCAATAAAGCTATTCATATTTTAAATTCAATAAATATTAAAATAACATATATTTAGCTAAAATATGGAGATAACATATATTTAGCTAAAATATGGAGCATGGTCAACTGGAATGCAGCTAAAGTGGGCCTCCTTTGTTTTGTATTGATCTGGATATTGCTTAGTTGACTCTCTATGATTAAACTCATTTGCATTAGAGCATCTCCAGCAAGGGTTGGGCTGGGTTCCGAAATTCCGGCCGGATTTGGATTGGATGCCGAGATTCTAGCGCAATTGGGGCTAATTTCCGCGCAATTGGGGATGGGCCTCGCAACACCAACGTGTTTGGGCCAGAATATGGAATTTAGGCGTGAATTCTGGTGAAATTAGGGTTGTGTCTTGGTCTGCCTGTGTGGACAGGGCAACTTCAGCAAGGTTGGGGCTAGACTTCCTAATTCCAGCAAGATTGAGGCTAATTTTGGTGCAATTGGAATTCACCCTCGAAATTTCAGCGAGTTTGGGGCAGGGTATGCAGAAATTGGTGTGCCTGGAGTTCAAATTAGGAAGTTTGCAAATGGCAGACTTGAAATTGGTGGGTTTGCAACTCCAAAACCCAACCTTTCTCTTGTTCACTGCTTTAGGAACCATTGTTGTTGAGATCGTCGCTACCGAGTTCATGGTTCCAAGCCTCTCTGTTGTAGCCTTCGTCACCGCTGAGCTTGACTCTCCTAGAGTCAATGCTCCATTCGACGTTCCAAGATTCAAGCTCATCGATATGGGAAGGAAGTGGAGTCATTCGGCTGCAATTTCTTGACTTACACCTTGAGGACAAGGTGTTTGTTTGGGGCGGGAGTAATGATAGGAACTTGTTAGTTGGTTAGAGAAGTTAGTAGTTTGTTAGAATTGGATTAGCAGTTGGCTAGAGTAGGTTAGTAGTATAAATAAGGGGTTTAGATGTTAAAGTGGGGAATCTGATCAATGGGTTGTTTTAGGGAAAAAGAGTCTTGGAGAGTCTCCAAGCAGGGGAGAGTGACCAGTCACTCGAATTACTGGAAATTACTTGTACTCTTTCTTGAATCTTTCAGTTCAATAAAGCTTTCAGTTCAATCAATTGTTTCTGTTCTTGTGAGAAATAGCCCGAGTCTATTATTTTGGGAGTGAACAAATGAAAGTCTTTGGACAATGCTCTGAGAAGCAGGTTTTAGGAGGAGAAATTTGTTAGAACTTGACCAAATATATAATATATTATCACAAAACCCATTGAGAGCTCCTTACAAAGTACAAAGACTTTATCAGGGAGTGCTTTAACAAACTGCTCCGCTGCAAACTTCCAATCTGTGGCACTGCACAAGCAAATGGTAAACCATTATATTATAAACAATCAACGGAAGTAAAGTGGGTAAGGAAGAGCCAAGAATTCTCATCAGAGAAGAAAGTCATACTCTGTTCTATACTTCCATTTCCATGCAAGGCAAATAATGAAAAGAAACTAAAATTCCAAATCACACAATACGAAATCGCATTAAGCATGGTGTTGAGAACTTTTTCATTCCTTGAAAGCGACCAAGATCCTAACATAATGTTTTAAGTTTCCAGAAGAGGAAAGAATCCAAATATGAAAAGCATTATAGTAAGACTCGTTTCTACTGCAAGAAATTGAGACAACGTTGGTGAACATTAAACATGATTCCTGGATTCCGAGGACATTAAGCTGAAAAACAATAATGTTCAGACTAAATATAACATTCCTAGATTAATAATCTATTACAAGATACACAATGAAAAAGAAAATGAGGATACGACTTTCGCAGTTTTATCCAATCCGTCTCCCCTTGCCTCCCCAAAACTCTTGAAACGAAATAAACCTCCACCATAAAGAAGAGATTGACCATCTTTCCCTGGAACTGGAACTCTACGCCACATTTTCTAATCTTCGAACTAGTGATCAGTAGGAACTGGACAATCTTATTTGGTAAAATTCCTAGGGACAAACTCTTATATTCTTTTCATTAGAGTATATCTGAACAAATTCCTAGATAACAAGCCACAATATTGACCACGATCTTGATACGGAGCTGGAACTTCTAACTATGATGAATGCTTTAACTATAGATATGATGCCGGAGATGAAGCAAAACACTGGAGAAGAAAAAAAAAATCACATCTTTCCACGTAAAAGCAAATAAGACTACTTGTATGGCATCTAATTCCAGATTATCAAAGCGATCAAAACATGGAACCTACAATTCCGATAGGATTAAGTCAAACAGCAAGTAAAAGGTCATTAATATGACGATAATCAGGTATTTTCCTCGGAGAAACTAAGATATAAGTTACAAGGCAAAAAAATTCTCTCAAATTACCAAACTAAACCTCAGAAAAGAGATAAGAATTCATCCAACAAAACAAAAGCTATAAATTTTATCAAAAACCAATATAATCAAATCAATTTCCTTTTCAAAATATAGATACAATATGAAATGGTATTGATGAAAAGCTTCAGACCTTCCAAGAATTCCATTGACCATGACAACGAGATGATCAGCAGAACCGGAATCGGAGAACTTGCAGCTCCAAACATCGCGACTTCCATTAACCGACTCCGACGAGCAAATTCCGTTCCCTACGACGCCGTTCTCCATAAATATCAACGGTTATTCGGTGTCTCTCACTTTCTTGGCATTAAAATTGGAACGGAAGGAAAATCGGAGGGAATCGGAAAATCGAGATGGAAACAGAAAACGGAGTTTTCTAGGAACGGTAGTTGGAGGTTTCTCGGGAAAATTGGATAGAGAAAGAGAGAGAAAGCGCGAGAAAACGTGGGAAACGGAAAAGAAAACGAGATGGGTGTGGGAGTACATGGAGATAAACCAGAGAGCGAAGGAAAACTGATTATTTAAAAGGGTTAATGCCTTTTTTTTTTTTTTTTTTTGAAATGGGGGTTAATATCAATTATTTAGAATATTATAAATTAGACCCTAAATATGTTTCTTATCTTATGGCTAGTCCTTCTGTCATAAAGCGGTTAACAATTCGACGGTATTTAACAATCAAGCACTCGCATGCTTGGTTAATTAAGCATATTTTAAACAAATTAGGCTTAAAAAATTAAACTTTTTTTAAAGAATGTGTTCTCTCTACCTATTTTGTTGCTTTCAAAGGTGTGATTTATCTAAAATGTGTTTTACTAATCAGTTTACACTGTTAATTCTATTGAGTTTCAAATGATTTTTATTATTGAATGGTCAAACATGAGATAAGAAGCATAATTCAGGATGTAATTGATAATATTTTAAAATTATGTAATGCAGCGACAAAAAATGAAATTAATCTTATACAAAACACACGCCGACATGGGCCGACTATACGAAATATTTTTTATTTTCATTTATTTATATTTTTTGTGGAGAAGAACTTATGAATGATTTATATACAAAGGGCGGTGAAATTGAAAACTTTCCAGCATAAAATGAATGTTCCTCTACGGTCGGTCCGGTGCAGTCAGATAAGCTCTTGCGATGTACCCACGTCAGCATATCTAAAATATTAAATTTTTTATAGGCAAAATATAATGGGTGTGGATATTATTTATTAATTTAATGGTTTTGGATTCTCTATTTTTTTTTTGCTATAATATGCTGCAGATTTTTTTTTTTTTTTTTTAGAACATGCTACAGAAGTTTTTTCTTTGTACATTAAATTTAAAATTTTATAAAGATATTACTTGATTGTTTCTTTATACGGAAGAAAACATTTTTTTTGTTGTACTTCGTTGTCTTTAATTACGTAAAAGGACAAAGCAAATAATCATATATATATATATATTTGGTAGACAAGCAACCTCGTTCTTTTCGCTGATTTGAGTTTAGAATTTGAGTTTTGTTACAGTAAAAAATTCTCAAAAACAGTCACATCTAATTTTTTTACTAGAGTAAAAAACTCCCACACAACATTACATCTCAACTCGAATTAACGAACCGAACATGCTTTAAATATCATATTTGTTCAATATTTCTAACCCTTTTTTTTTTCCTTTCTTATTTAGTTCTATATACGCGCTAGAAATCAGGATTTCAAATCACGTAAAAGGTTTCCTCAAAAAAGAAAAAGAAATCACGTTAAAGGTAGAATAGCCGTTGTCTGTGTTTTGACGTTTGTTTTATTAAAGGTTGGTTTCTTTTTTAAAAATATGGTACATAGAATAGTATTTGGCTCAAATTTTTGCATAATTAAGGAAACTGTGTTTGCTGAAATTTAGAGAAAATGTTCATAGCCATAGCACGAGAAATTGTGACCTATGAAATTTGAATGTAAGCAACATCTCACATGTCGTATTGGGCTCACATGCCACCTTTTTTTTTTTTTTATTTGCTTGTGATAATTTCACACGCGTCCGTGTAATTCTAAAGGTAGAAAAAAGAAAAGAATGGTAATTGTTAAGGTATAATTCGAGTTCTCTTATTACAATTTAACACGTATTTTCCCTGAAAAGTGTTCATCATCATTTATTATTATTATTATTATTATTATTATTATTATTATTATTTTGCTTTATCAAAATAGATATCACATGACATTAACCTCTTAGTATGGTAGGACTAATCATACCAATGTTTTTTCAATAGATAAGATTAATCAGATTAATGTTTTGGAATAAAATAAATAGTTTTGTTGGGATTAGGAGTTTAATCAATGAGTATTCAATTATATAGTATCAAATCGTTAAGATTTAAATGAATTGACTAAAAAAATTTACTATCTGGTAGGGCAAAATAATGTGCTCTCTTTTTAATTGTGTGTATGTTTCTGAACATTATTTTTGATCAATATTGTATACGGAAAAAAATAAATTTATACAAATTCAACCATTTAAAACAAAACCCTACAAGCGTATGACTCTTATTTTTTTCAAAAGAAATAAAAGTTATAAAGTCTGTTGAGCACCTGTTAGTAAAGAGAAAGTGCTTAAAGTTGGAATATTGCTTAGCCCTGCACTGCAAGTAAATGTCATTCAAAGCCAACAATAATTCAGTTTTTTTTTTTTTTTTATAAAAAAAAATCATGATTTGAGCCACTAACACTATTCAGATTGGATTTCAGTTATCATGTCTACATTTATAAGCTCTAAATTGTAGGCTTCCAGCACGATAAAGTAAGGTAAAATAAAATAACATTTATTAATTCTTCTTCTCAGCCGGAAAAGAATTTTCTTGCATTTTTGTCTCCTTTTGAAACAAAAGAAACTGCCTAAACTTGAATAATAACAATTAAAAGGTGAAAATGGCAACTAGGTCTCATGATAACATAGTTAACACTCGGTAACGTACAATTAAAATCTGGCTGTGTATTTGAAGGAAAAAAAATAAAATATAATAAAATAAAACCTTAAGATATAGAACTTGATGAAAATGAATGCGAGGCTACAGATGCATTTATAAAGTAACAATTGAGAAAAATACATATTCTAATATATATATATATATATATATAAGAAATCCTTTTTTTTCGCAAATAAAAACCGTGTGGCCCAAGCCTTTTCTTCATACGTTGCACATTGGTCCTCAACTTTCTCTTTTTGGGTATTTAAATCCTCAACCTCTTCAAATCTTGTAGCTATTATTATCTGTTAGGTTTCCACTGTACTTATCTCACATGAACTCGGTGCATATAGGGGCTTTGTTCTTCGGGTTAAAGGCGGGATGAAGTTCTCACCAAAGCTTTTACATGAATGCTTACCCAATTTAGATTAATTTTGAATATTTTAAGGACATGCTTATGGGAATTTCATATTTAGAAGACCAAGAGGGAAAAAAAAAACAAAAAACAAAAAAACCCACTTATATATGAATTACTCAGTGAACGTTTGGTTCATGGATTCAGAATCATGATTCAGAACCATTTTTAATTTACGTGTATTTTTTGTGAGAAAAAATACTGTAACGAACCATGATTCGAATCATGGCACAAATCTACTAACCAAACGCATATTCAATTTTTGAAAATTTCAACTGAAAGTTATGGAAAATGTCCTTTAAACTCAAAGCTAATTAATATGGAGATTTTCCCCAGTTTCCGCTTATTACCTTTGAGACGAATGGTGAAGCACCCTCATATGAGACCATGTGTGGTAATCATATTGTTTAACACGTTTTTAGATAGAAACCGAACAAGGAATAACGACTTCAACATATTAAAGAGGTTGGGGATTTAAATGTTTGACAGAGATAATGTTGGGGACCAATATACAACAGAAGGAAAATATTGGGGATCAATGGAGTCAAAAACCCAAGAAAGGAGCAAAATAAATCAAAGTACCAAACCCGACATGAATTTGCGGAGGAGGGCATATGTCTTTTTCACTTCAAGGCCCCTCCTCGGGTAAGTTTTTAGGCCCCCGTTGAAGATAAGGATGTTTGCATATGGAATGTCTTCACCCTTCAACATTTTGGTGGTTTGAGTTCTAATTGTTGGCAATTAATTGGTGTCGTCTTGCTCTGCATTATTCAAACCAGAGAGCATATCTGTTCCTTTCAAATTAATACCATCTTATTGTCCTGATGTATGGATAAATCATATTTATGCTAAATTGTTTTTTTTTTTTTGTTTTGTTGAATGTGGAGGGACAACAACAACTTGATAAGACATGATCATAGGAGAAAGAATGTTCGTATTGAGTTATAGTTATTTTAATTAGAAACAAAAGTGTGTCACCATTAAAGACCAATGAACATTAAATTGATAATGTGTGTTTTTTTTTTTCTTGGCGACTTATATGGTATTGAGGTTTGGTTTGACTTGTTGGTCGCAAATTAACATTATTGTCAGTCATATATTGACATAGTCGCAAACTAGCTTGTTGTATTTAATTAATTAGGCGGTAACTACGCACTTCCTCAGTTTCCTCTTTGTTTGTTTGTTTTTGATGGTTTGTCAATAAAACTCACGAGTTCAAGAAAAATAAAATGGAAAAGGACGAGAATAGCAAATAATGGCACAATAATTGATGACCATTTTCGTTTGGCATAAGCATAAGGTCTTATCCTCATATTATCATAATGTTATGTCTCAACAGCTAAGGATGGACCGATTTGTGTCAGAAGTTCGTGACTTTATGCATTGTTCATAATAAAACCAATAATATATCCGACAATATTTTTATACAATATTTATACTAAACACTTTGAGCAAATTTTCTAGTGCCAGTGGCCTTTTATTCCAACTGGAAGGCCTCCCCCTCTAAAGATAAAGATGATCATAGCAATCATAAGATTGATGTAATGATAATAACAATAATAGCAATAAACAAACAACAAATAGAAACAAACAAAAACAAAAAATAGTGTTTTGGGTATGTGGTTTGCAAACAATACCATGCACATGCATGCATTTAAGTCCCTTCTTTTGTACTAATTTACAAATTTTGACAACTTAATGATTAATTGGGTCACCAAACACGTTCATGACATATATAAATACAAAATGATAGAAGTTGAATCCTTTGATTCAGTATTAAAATTTCTTATTATAAGATTCTGCAAAATGAATTTGTATTTGATTGAAGATAATGCACACCAAAAATTCAAAACTATGTTTTGCAAGCCAACTGTTGGCGCATCAATATTTAAAAAAGAAGAAGTAATAAATTAGCATTAGTATATATATATATATATATGTATATATCATTATTCTATGATAAGGTATAAAAAATATCCTTCCGGTAGGTATAAAATAGTCAATATTTGTTTGCTACCGAAAATTATTCATTCATTAACAAACAATGGAAGTAACACATAGGCATGATACAAATATTATTGGCATGTTTACGTATCAGCTTTTGTTACCTATAATCACTATAATTTTTTTTCTACTGTGTCATCTAATCCACAACAAAAAAAAAAAAAAAAAAAAAAAAAAAAGATAAATTGCTTTGCTAGCAAAAAATTTTTGCTTGAGTAATAGTTTTATGCATAGATCACATGTTATTGCACAAAAATTAAAGATATAATTTTTTCCGTTGTCATCATTATTGCACGCCTCATCGAATATATTTGACCTAGTTGTATTAAAAAAGAAAAAAAAAAGTATGATTTGAATCATGGTTCATGGTTCGCTATAATGTTTTCTCTCACAAAAAATACACGTAAATTAAAAATAATTTCAATCACATGATTTTAATCCATAAACCAAACGTCTCCTAATTGTATTAAAAAAAAAAAAAAAAAAACCCTACCCTTATTATTGTCTTGACCCGGCCCCGTTTAAAAGCAAGAGAACTAACTTGTATTTCACCAATTTTCCGCCATCGAAACTTCTTGTAAAGAGCATCAAAATTACTGCACAAAGCTTCAGATGACATACTGCACAAGTGTAGACCTGTCATTCTGAGACGAGAATATTTTTGTCTTTCAACCTTCCAATCTGCTCAAGATCAAAGGACAGCAGCTCCACTTAGCTAGTTATTGGGGTGGGCCCATGCGCATGCATCGAGTCACCCATCACACACACACCACACACACACATATATAATATCTTTATTTTTTGATAAATTTCATTTTTGCCCTTCAAACTTTGATTTTCTTATCACTTTAGCCTGAATATTAAAAATTAGAAGACGTTTGGTTCATGGATTAGAATAATGTGATTAAAATTATTTTTGATTTACATGTATTTTTTGTGAGAGAAAACACTGTAACGAACTATGAACCATAATTCAAATCATAGTTTGAATCCTCCAACCAAACATCCCCTAAGTATGCGCAGCTCAATCTCCTCAAGAACATAGGACAGCAGCTCCACTTAGCTAGTTATTGGGATGGGCCCATGCGCATGCATTGAGTCACCCATCACACACACACACATATATAATATCTTTATTTTTTGATAAATTTTATTTGTGCCCTTCAAACTTTGGTCTTTTATCACTTTAGCCCGAATTTTGAAAATTAGTATGCATAGCTCCCAAACTTTAAAACATTATCAAATCCGTTAATAAAACTAACAGAAGAGGCAAAGTTAATAACGTTTCAAAATTCAGGAGCTGTGTAGATCAATTTTCAAAGTTTGGGGAGCAAAATGATAAAAAAAACCAAAATTCAGGGGCAAAAGTAAAATTTATCCTTTTTTTTTCTTCTTTTTAGTGTTCCGTGTGTGAATCTTTAGCATTAGTGCAAAGCAAGCTTGTTGTTGCTGAAAGCTGAAAACTGAAAACATATGACAATGACCACCACTATCTTCCAATATCAATTACCTTTAAATCAAGGCTTCTTGTGGTCGGTGAAAATATATGGTGATGACCACCATTTTCTTCACTCAATAATTATCTAATCAAGGCCTGTTGTTTTTGGTGAACTGTTATGACCACAACTCTCCTCCTCTTTGCAATTATCTAAATCAAGTCTTCTCCTTAAAAATAGAAATTAAAAAATAAAGAAAAAATCGTCTTCCGTGATTGGTGAACATACATGGTGTGGGACACTACTCCCTTCTTGGAAGGATTTATCTAGATCTAAGGCTTGTGGTTGTTGAACATACATTGGTAATGACTCGACTCCGTGTGTGATAGAACCGATCGTTATTTTCGCGACCATACTGACCACAATACCCCGCAAGCAAAGCAAGGAGCTTGGTTAAGTTGAAATCACTAATTTTTAGAGAGAGACAGAGAGAGAGATCATCTCTTAGAAATGATACCTTATATGGCACTATGGAAGTTAATAAATATTAAAAACAGCAAAACTGTCGGATGTTCCCAACGACAACGAATGGAAATATCGACTATCCAAACTACAAGCCCCAATGGAGGGGGAGAATCAAAGCTTGAATGATCCGTTTTTACACGAACTCTTTC